GGATTTAGCTGCATCTTCTGGAAACAACCCCAATACAGGATATCTGGCGAACTGCCAGTGTCAATAAACACCTTATTGACATTATGATTGCCTATATGAACTGTTGTCACAAAGGGGTCTGCATGGGGCATCATAATGTCATACTCTCCTTCTGCTCGCTTGTAATCCGCCGGGCTAAATGTGATGGGCATATTTTCCCATTCTGCTTCCTCAAACGGCCGTTTCAAGGGTCTGTTTTTGTTGACGGTCATCACCTGTCAGGCATATGCCTTGCAAGCTCGGGCGCTTTGGCCCCTAGAGTGAACACCACCCGATATCATGTTTATTGTACCAGAAGGTGGGGGTATCCCAGCATAACCTACCCCTTTTCTGTCTTTTTGATTAGGGGCAGTAGTCCTCGGTCCCTGCCCTCTCCTGTTGAAAGGGCGTCCTCGGTACGCTCTGCTCTGTTCAGAAGGATACTGGTTATCCAGATACGCATCATGCGTCCCTCCATGCTTGTACCTCTGTCCTTGAGGTCGGTCATACACCTGCACAAAATGGGTTTGAGCGGGTTGCTGGGTGTGAGGCTTCTGAACATATCCCTCTAGTTTCCCGTTACGAGCCAAAAATTCTAGCTCGTCCTTCAAATGTTGGCAATCCTCGGTATTGTGACCATATACACGATGGTAGTCACAATGCTTGCTCTTATCTGCCCTCGGGGAATCATGTAGTGGGGGTGGAGGTCTCCGAACCCAGTGCTGAATTTGTGCCAGGATTTGAGACCTGGGTAAGGTCAAAGGAATGTAACTGGCATATTTCGGGAACTCAGCTGGTTTCCCCCATGGCTCACCGACCTTCTGCTTCTTCTTCTCTTCTCTTCTTGGTTGTTGTTCCTGTCCTCTGCTCGGCTTATCATCAGCTTGTCGCTTGGACGACTGAAAGTCCTCTGACAGTATGAAGCTGGCCGACCTGTCATTCACCTCGTTCCACGTCTTCGGTGGGTTTTCGAGCAGGTCGTCTAGGAACCGGCCACGTTTCAACCCATGCAACAGGGCGGAGAGGCAGATTGTGTCTGGGATATTGTCAGTGTCCAATGTGGCTTTGTTGAACCGCTGCATGTAATCCCTCAAAGACTCCCCTTCCTTCTGGTTAACCTGCATCAGCTCAGTTGCTGTGCGCTTGATCTCCCTTTGGCTCGCAAATTTGTTAGAAAACAACTTGGCGAGCTGGGAAAACGAATCTATTGAATGCCTGGGAAGTTTGTGATACCGTCTTCTGGCCGTTGATTTCAGTGTTGCCGGGAACACTTTGCACATCATGGCATCATTGGCGTTTTGAATCCTCATGATGGCTTGATAGGTATGTAGATGTTCATCCGGGTCTTTCGTGCCATCATATGTTTCTAGGTGGGGGATTTTGAATCCCTCTTGATATGGTTCTGCGGTGATGGATAGGTTCAGCGGAGCACTATCCAGATCCAAGGTCAGTTGGTGCGACCTGGGGCTTTTCAGCTCGTCAATGGATTTCTGTACATCCCGCAGCTGCCTTTCGAGGTCGGCGTTCTTTCTCATCAATTCCTCACTATGTTTGGACGAACTGGGCTCAATATTCAACTTCCCACTTCCCCTAGGCCTGGTCGGCACCACTATATTGCTTAGAGCGGGGGAGTTTCTAGTTGCAACAACCGCAGCTGGTTGCGCATCCCTGTTCAGCAAAGGAATCAGGGGGTCATCAGGGATTAGGCGGGCAAGGATTTTACCCATTGCCATTTCGAGAACTCTGGTTCTCTCTTCGAGCTCGGTTGTCCGAGCAGGTTCTGTTGACCTTTCAGGTCGTTCTTGCTGTGAAATGTGTGGTCGAGAAGGTCTTTGTCTT